GGGACCTAATTAAACTTAAAAGCTTTTGCACAACAAAGGAAACTATAAGTAGGGTGAAAAGACATCCTTCAGAATGGGAGAAAACAATAGCAAACAAAGCAACTGACAAAGAATTAATCTCAAAAACGTACAAGCAGCTCATGCAGCTCAATACCAGAAAAATAAACAACCCAATAAAAAAATGAGCCAAAGAACTAAACAGACATTTTTCCAAAGATGACATACAGATGGCTAACAAACACATTAAAAGATGCTCAACATCACTGAGACAATACGTTTCTGTTGTTTTAAGCCACCTAGTTAGTGGTAATTTGTTCCATCAGCCCCAGGAAGTGAAAATGCATGTCTTCAGTTTCCTATGTCTGTATTCTGCCCAGTAATGAGCGCTACCCTATGGAATAAGCCCTTGGGTATGACGTCACTGCAAAATTCATACAAGCTTTGTCATCCGTTCAGTTCAGTCGCTGAGTTGTGTCCAACTCTTTGCAACCCCATGGACTGCAGCACGCCAGGCCTCCCTGTCCATCACCAACTCCCGGAGCTTACTCAAACTCATGTCCATTAAGTCAGTGATGCCATCCAACCATCTCATCCTCTGTCGTCCCCTTCTCCTTCCGCCTTCAATCTTTCCCAGGATCAGGGTCTTTTCCAATGAGTCAACTCTTTGCATGAGGTGGCCAAAGCACTGGAGATTCAGCTTCAACATCAGACCTTCCAGTGAACACCCAGGACTGATCCCCTTTAGGATGGACTGGTTGGATCTCCTTGCAATCCAAGGGACTCTCAAGAGTCTTCTCCAATACCACAGTTCAAAAGCATCAATTCTTCAGCACTCAGCTTTCTTTATAGTCCAACTCTCACATCCATACATGACTACTGGAAATGCCATAGCCTTGTCTAGATGGACCTTTGTTGGCAAAGTAGTATCTCTGCTTTTTAATATGCTGTCTAGGTTGGTCATAACTTTTCTTCCAAGGAGTAAGTGTCTTTTAATTTCATGTCTGCAGTCACCATCTGCAGTGATTCTGGAGCCCTCCAAAATAAAGTCTGCCACTGTTTCCACTGTTTCTCCATCTATTTGCCATGAAGTGATGGGACCGAATGCCATGAGTGAAAAAGCTGGCATAAAGCTCAACATTCAGAAAACAAAGATCATGGCATCCAGTCCCATCACTTGTCATAAGAACCCTACAAATTTATTTTTGCCTACTTTTTTATTGTGAAAGTTTAAAAACTAATTTTAGATGTATTTGTTTTGTATTCCTGGTTCTGCCCTGAAAAGTTGGGTAACAATGAATGACTTAGATAACCTTAGCACCTTAATTTCTACACTATTTAATTTAGTGACCAACAAATGTTAGTTTTCCTTCCTGTAAACCTAATATAAAAGGTGTAACTTTTAAAAGGGCTCTTCACTGATAAAATGGTTATATCCAATTTTTGTTCCAGATTTATTCCTTTTTTCTCCCCCTAAAGCAATATCATTTTTTCTGTTTTTTTGTAATGATTTGCAGAGAACCATGCCATTATAATTCTATCAGCAGTTATAATAAAGTTTCTTCAGAACTTTTAAATTTGTGTCTATCCAATAGTGTTTATGGAAGGATCCGAAGGAACCCTAGATTTGTGTGCCTAGGTCCTATCTTCTGGAAAACTGCCACAAAAAGGCATTCAATTATTCCCTTCTGGAATTTAATTTTGTGCATGTTATGAGGTAATTATTCTTCTACATAAACAGCCAGTTATCCCAATATTACTTACTGAATAGTCCATTATTTGTTTTGAGATACTATTTTTTACTCACATATAGAAGTATCATATGTAAGTAATTCTCTTTGTTTTCTATGCTACAGATACAGTTGTTTCATCTGTGGTATACCAATTATTTTGTTTCCTACAGACTACCATTTGAATTACTTGGTCAGCAAGCCCTATTTCATTGTTTCTAATTTTTAACAGTCACTTAGTTATTCTAATATACTTCAGTGTGCTAAATTTCATTTTTAAATCCCATTGAGTGACAAGGATGCTGACAAGTAAGTGTGGGAAAGAACAGTATTTTCAACAAAGATGTGTATATATACATCTTTTCATTATATCTCCACCTTGTAGTTCTACTAGTTGGATTTTCTAGTTATCAAATATATTATCTCAAATTATGTCAGCTTTTCCCCCCTTTCTTTTAAATATTACTGGCTCATACCTTTTTTCTCTTATTTAATTATTTTCTCTTATTTACCTGTGAAAGTGAAAGTCGCTCAGTCGTATCTGACTCTTTGTGACCCCCATGGACTGTCCATGGAATTCTCTAGGCCAGAATACTTGAATGGGTAGCCTTTCTTGTCTCCAGGGGATCTTCCCAACCCAGCGGTCGAACTCGGGTCTCCTGCATTGCAAGTGGATTCTTTACCAGCTGAGCCACAAAGGAAGCCCAAGAATACTGCAGTGGGTAGCCTATCCCTTCTCCAGGGGATCTTCCTGACCCAGGAATCAAACCGGGGTCTCCTGCACTGCGGTGGATTCTTTACCAACTGAGCTATCAGGAAAGCCCCATTGACCTGTAGAACAATGCTAAGAATGGTGACATCAAACATCATTTGTCTCATTCCTGCTACTGAAAAGAATGTTCTAGATAGTTGCAGCATTTGGTAGGTTTCTGATAAATATCCCTTTTCAATTTAAGAAAGTTTCCTTCTGTTCTTAACTTTAAAACAACATCAGTTAAAAAAAAAAATCAGTGCCTACAGAATGTTGCCAAATGTTTTTATAGCATCTGGTATGATATTTTCTTTCTTTATTAATGCATATTTTTACCTTTGAACTAGTTTGGAAGTCCTATGATAAATGTAAGTATTGATTTTTACTATACTACTAGATTTCACTTGTTAATGATTAAATTAGAAATTTTAAATTCCCTTTTATTTGTATTTATATTCCTTTTCTTACTCCTAGATTTTGTGTTTCTCCTTCCCCCACATTATCCTACTTGCTAGAGCTTATATATTGGTTTATCAAATGCACTTGTTGTACTTATTAATGTATTCTTTCATCTCTATTAATGCACCCCCTTTCTTTGGGCTTATATTGTAATTTGGTTTCCTATCTTTTTAAATTGAATACTTATGTTCCAGTTTTATCATTTTCTAATAACAGAATTTTTCTGTTTGGATTTATTCTTTTCCACAAAGTAGAAAAGAATAGCTTTATTGCTTTGCTAGGCAAAGGGGGCCACAGGAGGCTAATGCCCTCAAAACTGTGTCTAGAATTATTCTTCAGCACAAAAATTACTCAGAAAATTATTTCTAATTTCTAATTTTGTGGTACTATTTTAAGTTGTTGTTCTTTTCTTTTATCTCATTGTGGTAAAAAACATAAAGGGACCAAAACAAAAAGGGAACATAAACAAAAAGGGAAGGTTTGTATATTTCTCTCAGGGAGAATTTATTTAAATTTTCTTTGTAGCCATATATATGGTCCATTAAAAATATTCCATGAATACTGGAAAATAATGCATATTATCTCTGAGGGAAAGCATTCTTGTCTATGGCTATTTAATTAACCTTGTCAAAAGTTAAAATTCAAACCCTCTATAAAGGTGTTGCTTCTACATTTAAAAACAAAATGAGAACCACTAAAAAGATTATATATAAACAATTTTTATCATCCCTCTAAGATTCCTGTGTATCTGAAAATACTTCTACTATAAACAAATATATACATTTGTAATAAATTATCTCTAAAATGAATTTCTTAAATGTCTTTTAAAAATTACCTTCAATTTTAGAGATGACTACTTCCACTATAAGTTTTTATATCAATAATAGCACATTTTTCAGACGAATTACAAAAACAGTGTTTCAGACTTCCTTGGTGGTCTAGTGGTTAAGAATCCATCTGCCAATGCAGGGGATACAGGTTCAATCCCTGGTCCAGGAAGATCCCATGTGCCTCAGGGCAACTAAGACTGTGTGTGCACTCTAGGGCCCACATACACCAACTACTGAGCCCATTTGCTGCAATTACTGAAGCCCGCACACCCTAAAGCCCATGCTGTGCAACAGGAGAAGCCACTGCATTGAGAAGTCCATACACTGCAACTAAAGAGCAGCCCTCACTTGCCGCAACTAGAGAATGCCAGTGTGCAGCAAGATCCGGTGCAGTCAAAAATAAAAAATAAATTTGATGTGTTTCTCCAGTGTTTCTTCTCAGTACAAACATTATAATACTGAGTAAATGAGTATTTTGCCTAAGGTTTTTCTTGCATAACAATTCTAGAGAATTTCACTACTGTGAGGGCTCAAGGGTTAGGGATGACCTATGGCTGCAGGCTTTTCCATATTCATTACTTCTATACAGTTTCTCTGCTGTATATGTTTGCTTATGTTTAGTAAGGGCTGAGCTTAAACTGAAGGATTTCCTCCATTCATTACACTGGTAGGGCTTCTCTTCTCTATGAGTTCTCTGATGTCTAGTTAGTGCTCTTCTATAGCAAAATAGTTTTTGACATCCATTACACTGACAGGGTTTCTCACCAGAATGCAGTTTTAGATGTTCAGCAAGGTATGTACTTCGGCTGAAAGTTTTTCCACATTTCTTACTAACATGAGGTTCCTCTCCAGTGTGAGTTCTCTGGTGTTCAGTAAGATGTGCACTCCAATTAAAGGCCTTTCCACATTCATTACACTCACAGGGTTTTTCTCTTGTGTGGATTCTCTGATGCCAGATTAGTGATGAGCTGTGGCAAAAAGCGTTCCTACATTCCTATGTAGGGATGATCTATAAACGGCTTTTTCACATTCATAACGTTTCTCCCCAGTATGGACTTTCTGATGTTGAATAAGATTAGTACTCTGACTAAAAGCTTTTCCACATTCGTTACACTCATAAGGTTTCTCTCCAGTATGAATTTTCTGATGTTGAATGAAGGCTGGGTTGTGGCTGAAGGTTTTTCCACATTCATTACATTTGTACAGTTTTTCTCCTGTGTGAATTCTCTGATGTCAGATTAGTGATGAGCTGTGGCAAAAAGCTTTCCTACACTCCTTACACTGGTAGGATTTCTCCCCAGAATGAGTTCCTTGATGTTCAATAAGATGTGTGCTCTGGCTGAAGGCTTTTCCACATTTGACACATGCATATGATTTCTTTCCAGTATGAATTCTTTGATGTTGAGTAAGGGTAGAAATATGGCTGAAAGCTTTCCCACACTCATTACAAGGATAGGGTTTTTCTCCAGTATGTATTCTGTTGTGATTTTTAAGATTTACCACATAAATTACATTTATGTTTCTCTCATACAAATTTTCTCAGATTCCATTAGTACTAAGCTATGGCTTTACATTTAGGTTGTTTCCAGAATAAGTAAGGTTTGAGGCACAAATGCATCTTTTCTTATAGCTAAAATTAGTTTTCATTTGTAAGTTACCTTTAAAAAATACTGATAGAAGTAGAATTGTGTTTTAAGCTCCAAGCATTTGTGTCATAATTATGACATCTTTATCTTCTAGAAATGCCGAGTTGTTTAAAAAGATTTGAGCCGAGATTTAATATTTCCCTCAAACTATTATATCCATGATCTTTCTGTTGTATAGCTTTTCCTTATAATTTAATTTTACTTGTGTTTACCCAACTGGTTATTGAATTCCTATTCTTGTAATGTGTAGAACCATCATTTGAAGAATTTTCTAACATCATGCTGTGACACTATTTGTTTTCCTGAAGCTTTGTGCTTTGGAATTAAGGCTCTAACTTTGGATATAATATGCAGGATTAAGTAGAAGACATTATTTCTTCCCTCTGGAATGTAAAGGGGAAAACAAAGCTCACTCATCAGTTATAGAAAAATATATTTTAAAAATAAACCAGTGCTGATAAAACAAAAATAACACAGTATAGGTTCAGACTAATATGGAAGTTTAAAGAAGGAGAGATTAATATAGATAAGTGTGGTAAGAGAAATGAGAGCACTGAGACAAAAGTCATAGAATAATCAAAGATAAAGATATAGGGACTTCCCTGGTGGTCCCGTAGTTAAAAACTCACCTTCCAGTGCTGGGACACAGGTTCAATCCCTGGGCAGGGTACTAAGATCCCACACGCTGCAAGGCGACTAAGCCCACGTGTGACACCTACTGAGCCAGTGGGCCTCAAGCAGAGATCCTGCCTGCTGCAAACTACACAGCCTGCACGCTCTGGAGCCCAGGCACCACTAGAGAGAGCCCACCACAACGAGTCCATGCACCTTTGATCCTACATGCCGCAAACGAAGATCCTGCATGCCACAGCTAAGACCTGATGCAGCCAAAAATAATATTTTTTTTTAAAGATAAAGATATAAAAAGTACATGACATGACAAAGAGTCAATGATATTAATTCAAATACATGTCTTCGGAAAGCAGAGGTAAAAGTAAGAAAGGAAAAAGAAAATGGGATCATATAATAACAACTTCTGACAAACAGAAATACCATATAGTAGGAGACAGAAAAAATGAAGTTTCCTGTCATAGTAGCAATATGATATATGTGTTACGTTTTAGATGAAGTGCTTGTTAATTTCATCTAACATGGATAACAGAATAAGGCTATCAAACTCAGCAAAGAAAGTATTATAAAAATGACATGGGCCTGGATTAGGATAATACATAAGAATTTAGTATGTATTCTAGAACACAAAAAGAAAAAAAACAAAAATGTACTGACACTGATTAAGAATTTTTTGAAAATGAGGTTCATAAGTATATTTGATTTCTAACCAAGAAAGCTGGAATTAACGGTGGTGATACTAATAAAGGAACTAATAGTACCAGGTAATGGTGGTACAAATGATAGAAATACTGAAGAAGAAAAAAGAGGCTGAGAGAAGGTTGGTGATTTCACGTTTTACCATAAAGTGGTAAAACTTGACCATAAAGAAATAAAGTGAAGTGGGACATTCAAATAGAGACATACTCTAAGCAGGGAAGCCATGGGGAATTCAAATGAGATATGTGAGCTGAAAAAATGTATCAAGGCATTAATGACATGGGAGGACTATTTTTGAGAATATCAGAATGCATGAATTTTGGGGGATAAGAAATAAACAACTAAAATATAAACCTTAAAAGGACATGCATTTCTACTAGGGAGGAAGTGAAACTAACAACAAAAAAAAGCACCTGGAAAGAGATTAAAACAGAAAATAATCTAGTGATGTCACACAAGCAAAGACAAAATATCAAATGCAGCAGAAAGCTTGAGCCTGGGAAGAACTAAGAACAGGCTTCCATCAAGAAAGATTTCAGGGTTCGGGGGTCTCTTAAAAATAACTTTAATAGAAAAATAAAGTGCAAGTTGCTCAGTCACGTCCGACTCTTTGCAACCCCATGAACTCTACAATCCATGAAATTCTCCAGGCCAAAATACTGAAGTGGGTAGCCTATTCCCTCTCCAGGAGATCTTCCCGACTCAGGAATCAGACTGGGGTCTCCTGCATTGCAGGCAGATTCTTTACCAATTGAGCTAAAAACAAATAATCAGAGTCTAAATTTGAAGATTAAAGCAGAATAGAATTGAGGCTCTTAGGCAGGAGTATGAAAAGTTTGATAATGAAAGGAGAGAATAAAATTAAAAGGCAAATAAAAAGGTATTGTTGCATAAGATGTTCTTATAAAAGTAAGAAAAAAATTTGAATGTCTAAAATTAGAACAGGGAGAGACTAAATTATGAAATAATCACTAAAGCGAGATCCTAAAACAGAAAAAAACTGAGTTTAGGGTACAAATAGAGAGACTCATTAATGAAAGAGGACTATCGCTTCCTCTGAGATCACTAAGATATGTGAGAAATGAGGCTGAATGTTGCTCCTACTAGGCAAACTCTGTTTTATACACAGACAAGAGAAGGCTCTGTCCATGGGATTCTCCAGGCAAGAATCCTGGGTGGGCTGTCATTTCCTTCTCCAGTCCATGGGGTTGCAAAGAGTCAGATGTGACTGAGGAGACTTAGCACACAGGCAAGAGGAGGCTATGCAGAGTGGACACGAGCCAACATTTCCAAGTCTACCACCTCCCCCCAACACTAAAATTAGAACCTCGTCCCACCACTGCAATGGACAGATGAACTATTATTTACAAAGATTTCCAGCTACTTGGTTGTAACTTAGTTACCTGATTCTTGGCTAAGTATTTTGTGACATTTCTCCATTTTTCCCCTCTGTTATATATTAATATGGTTCTTTCTACTTAGCTTCCGTCATAGCTCATTTGGTAAAGAATCTGCCTGCGTCCTGGGTCAGGAAAATCTGCTGGAGGAGGGAAAGGCTACCCTCTCCAGTATTCTGGCCTGGACTAAGTCCATGGGGTCGCAAAAAATCAGATGTGACTGAGCGACTTTCACTTTCACTTTCCTACTTAGAAGATAATATTTTATTTAAAAAACTGATGCTAGGAATCTTGGTGAAGGATATGAGCTTGGGTGTTTATGATGGATCTCAAAGTTGTATCTGCAGTTGTCTTCAAGAACTCTGAAATATAGGAATGTTGATGCTGTTAAGGCAACATAATTAAGTTATCTGTGTACAATATTTTGAAGAAAGAAGCAATTGACTGTTTACTAATAAAGGAAATACCTTGTCTCCATGCACAAATAAAATTTAAGATCTCTGGTCCCTAAACTCAAAGACCAGCTCAGATAAGTATTGGTAAATACCATAATCCCATACACTTTGACATTTGAGGAAAAAGCCATGGCGTGTGTGTGTGTTAAGTCGCTTCTGTCATGACTTTGCAATCCCATGGACTGTAGCTTGCCAGGCTCCTCTCCATGGGATTTTCCAGGCAAGAATACTAGAATGGGTTGCTATTTCCTTCTCCAAAAGTCATGGTAATCTATAGGAACTACTATAGAGAGATGCAAAAAATGGGAGTCTGATCCTATTCATATATAACCTGGAGGAGAAGAGATCAGCATCAAATATTAGCTAGATCTGTTTATCTCAGTAAGCAGGTAGAGTTTATTGTGGGACTAGAACTAATAAGATAACAATATCTAAGACCTTCACAAATTTGCATCACACAATTAACTCCCTTTAGGATAATTTCACACTTGCCAAGCAGTATCAGGTTTTGCATCCACAGATTTAACAACCATATATCAAGTAGCATTTACTATAGAAAAAAGATCTGCATATAAGTGGACCTATGCAGTCCAAATCTGCATTGTCCAAGCTGATATATGTATCAACTGATGTTGATATATATATATGTACATATTTACATACATATGTGTATAATTTTTGGACTCCCCCCCCCTTTTTTTTTACTACTAAGCTACTCCTATGCCAATACTATACTACATTAATTACTGTTGTTTTTTACGCAAGTTTATCAGGTAGATAAATTCTCTGTGAGTGTTCTTTACAGAAATTTTTGGGCAGTTTTTTGTATTTTAAGTTTCAGATGAAGTTGAAAACAAATGTGACCACTCCATTCTTAAAAATCCTGTCAGGGGAGTGGGGTTGGAGGTTAAGAATTACACAACCATCCATGATGGAATAAAAGAAAGTGGATTCACCCTCTTAGCTTAAAGAACTCGGAAACTGGACAAAAACATATAAAACAATGGTTTTAAGACACTGAATAACAGTGCAGAACCATGATACTTGAAAAATAGATCCAGTGAGCTCTACAATTGCCCCAGTCTGCATCCTGGAGGAAGACTTCAGGATAAATTCTCAGGGAGGAATATTTCAAAGAGAGTCCAGGGGTTCACTGACTTGAAGAGAAAGAGATCAGATAGTAGGGAGACCAAAAGGTTTACAGTATTCAAAGCAGATTACTCAACAGGAATGAGCTGCACAACAACATATAAAAATAACATACGAAAAAGCAGAGTTTTTGTCAGGAATGTAAGTTGGATTAATGTTTAAAGGTCAGGAAATTAAACTATTAATAGTTTTAAAAGGAAATACCATATGCCATAGATGTAGAAAAAAGCATTTGATAAATTTCAATATGCTTTCATGATAAGAAAGCAAAAAGAAACCTCTTAGACTAGGGATAAAAAGGATTTTTTCAAATTAATAAGGGATATCTTATTAAGAGTGACAGGTGGGCTCAGCAGTTGTGGCACATGGGCTTAGATGCAGCATGTAGGATGTAGGATCTTCCCAGATCAGGGATCAAACTTGTGACTCCTGCACTGGCAGGCAGACCCTTGACCAGTGAGCTACCAGGGTAGCCCTTTAAAAATAATAACAATAATTTTA